CTGTCCCACTCCTGTGCTGGTCAACAGGATAAAAAAAAGTTGGGAATCACTGGTCTATAGCAGCCTGCTTTCTACAGAATACGCTGAGTCCCCGTCTTTTGACAGTCAGGCCCATTTTAGCTGACTGAAGTTGATAACCCAAAAAGTGTGGCACCCAAATCACTAGGCACTTTTATAAATCTTAGTCCATGCAACTTGCATTAGAATTACACAGCAGGCCACTGGCAAGACTGAAAACAGAACCCAGCTCTCCTGACTCCTAATGCGCTGCAAATGTTATGGGAATAACATACATCCAGGCTTCTGTTTACTTGTTATCTAATCAGCACTCTTTTTTTTTTTTTCCGTTCTTCTCAAAGCCTAATGCTTTCTTCAGGCCTCAGCAATGGGGCTCACCACGCAGCCCTGCATCCAAAGCCCAGTCTCTTCCCTCTGATCATCCAGCACAAGATTTTACTAGGATGATTTCAGAAGCCAGTACCCCTCAGAAGTCCCCAACCACTGAGAAAGCAGTTACTATACAGCAGGGCAGACCATCGCCAGCAGGGTCCCCCGGAAATAGACAGACTCAAACTAGTGCCAGCAACCTTCACCTACCCCTGGAATCTTCTGCTAAGGGACAGCTGGCCAATGAGGACCCTGTGGTTGTAACTCATGAGCAGTTCAAGGCTGCTCTTAGGATGGTGGTGGACCAGGGTGATCCACGGACACTACTGGAGAACTATGTGAAGATTGGCGAAGGATCCACAGGCATTGTCTGCATTGCTCGTGAGAAGCACTCTGGGAGACAGGTGGCAGTGAAGATGATGGACCTAAGAAAGCAACAGCGACGGGAACTGCTTTTTAATGAGGTGAGGATGAGAGTAGGAAAATGGAAGATTCTGATGTCTGTAATAAAGCAGTACATTCTCTGTTTTTAATGGGAGGGAGATAGTATTAAGATGAGGATAAAATCAGAGAAAGTTAGGGTTGGAAGGGACCTCAGGAGATCATCTAGTCCAAACTCCTGCTCAAAGCAGGACTATTCCCAACTAAATCATCCCAGCCAAAGCTTTGTCCAACTGGGTTTTGAAAACCTCCAAGGATGAAGCTCCCACCACCTCTCTGGGTAATCTGTTCCAGTGTTTTACTACCCAACTAGTGAGAAAATTCTTCCTAATGTCTAACCTAAACTTCCCTTGCTGCAACTTTAGACGGTTGCTCCTTGTTCTGTCATCTGAGAACAGTCTAGCTCAGGGGCAGGCAATTATTTTGGCTGGAGTGCCGCTTAAGTTTTGGCAAGCTGTTGAGGGCCACAAGGGTGGCCCCGCCCCTTGACAAACGCCCTGCCCCCTGGTTGCCACCTTGGGACCAGGAGTCTCGCCCTTAACCTCTGACCTTTGCATTGGATGGTTAAAAGGAGAAGAGAGGGGCATCTTTCTTTTACTGAAGTTAGCTTCTTAATGAGAGTAGCATAGAAGTGTTCTGGTGCATCTGTACCATATAGACCGTGCCTGGCTGTTGAGGGAGGTTGATTAATGGCTAAAGAGTATCTCTACACAGCACAATGCGGATCTGTTTAAAGGTAACCCAAGCAAGCTCAGAATGAGTTAGCTTAAGTGCTAGAGGCAGTATAACCACATAAGTGTTGTGTCTGGGTTGACAAGCTGGGTGCACTAGCCTGAGCAGAGGCACGTGCTAATGTGGACATTGTGCTTCTGGTACCCAATAGTGCTGTGCACACATGCTAGTCATTTCCCATGTGTAATGAATCACGTTCCCTGTGCTTTTGCAGGTGGTTATAATGAGAGACTATCAACATGTCAATGTGGTAGAGATGTATAAAAGCTACCTGGTAGGAGAGGAGCTCTGGGTGCTGATGGAATTTCTGCAGGGTGGCGCCCTCACAGATATTGTCTCGCAAATCAGGTATGAAGTAAAACACAAGAAAACTGGCTTTGGAAACATAGGTTTCTACCTGACGGGCAACAGAATGATTGTAGAAATCCCTTTGGAGAACACTGTTCCCTCCAGAGACTATGTAATGATCGTAATTATAATGCCCTGTAATTATCAAATTTTATAATTGGAGTAACCAAGCCTTTTGATATAAGTGACGGTTCTTTGGACCTCTGAAGAGGGGAGGGCCACATGGAACACCAACTTCATGAAAGTCCAAAAGTGCCTCTATTGGTGACTCTCTGTTTGAGGTACTGGACTTAAAAAGTGTCTGTTCTTAAACCAGATTTGTGCATTTCCGGAAGCTCTTCAGCTAGCAACTGGAGAACCCCTGGAAGTAGTCTTATGTGGTAAAACAGAGTAAGGTGAGATCAGTGGGTATATTCTACCTAATTTCTCCAAAGGCCTTTACGATTTTGATATTGCCTCAAATCACATCAACTAAAGACTTCAGTAAATGAATTATTTTCTGATGCTGAGCTCTCTTGTCTTCATTTACTTTCATACCTATTCCACTTTATAAAAGATCTAATATTTTGTGTGAGATAAATTGTTTTTCAAGTGACTGTTATATATTCCCACTCTTAAATGCTCTGGCTATGCAGTTCTGATAGTACTTTCTGAAGTATTTTCATGTCTCTTCTTACTGTCGCTGAACATACTTATGGTAAAGCTATAAAATGGTGAGCAATGCTCTGCCTATGGTACCTGAGAGACCAGGAATCTTTTCGGCTGATCTAACTCAGTTTCAACCTCTTTGAGGACAGTATCTTAATTAGATTTCTAAGTTAGTTAGGGTTAGGGTTACCTTGTTTATTTCCTTTATAGAAGGGTTCTTTTATTTTTTTAAATTGGTCCCCATACCCGAGCAGGTTTACTGATCCTATGACTAATCTAGAGAGGAAGTAACTAGGATTTAGGGTGTGTCCCTTGTCTTGCTGCATTCTGTACTTTGAGGTGTTTGGCTTGCTCAAGGAAAGATTACTCTTTCCTTCCTGGATGAACTGAATGTCCGTCACTTTATTCTCTTACCCAACATGAATTTAAAATTAAAGATTCTGCAGAAGATTCTGTCCTCCCATAGTGTGGAAGCACAACCATTGAGCACTGTGAAACCCCACAGATGTCAGTCTCTGTTAGCAGAATCAACCCTTATAGGAATGCATCTCTGGATTTAATATCTCCACTTCTAGGTACGAATATGTCATGAGAGACAAATTCAAGCTCCCCTTGGATCCCTCACGGTTAATTCTGAAATCACTCTGAAAGCTTAAGGCCACAGCCCAGGGCAAGTCTTTTTGCCTTTTTAGAACAGGGGCGGGCAATTATTTCGGGCAGAGGGCCACTTACTGAGTTTTGACAGGTCATTGAGGGCTGCATGACAGGCAACCAGGGGCAGATAAATATTAATTTTTAATTAGCCAGGGGCCCCACAGGCTGAATAGAATAGCCTGGCGGACCACATCCGGGCCACATTTTGCCCACCCCTGATTTAGAAGGATGTTGCTATCCTGATGTAATAGTGTGTTGGTTCTGGGTGCTGTTTCTGACTCTTCAGTGCTGCCAGCATCTCCTATGTTGGTATATCCAGGAACATCTCTCAGGTTAAATAAGATCCAGTGGTCACACACCTCTGCATTTCCTGGACTGCTTGGTAAAGGGAATAAATGAAACACTTTGAGGCCTGTTCCCACTTTCCTGCTGAGGAAAAGAAAAACACTTCTGAAGCAGATTCAGGTATACCCAGATCCATCACTCCCCCTCCCCTATAATACTAGGAATCTTTTCCTTTTCAACTTAAGAATATCAAGACCATTCGTTTCCCCTTTACTTAATTGCCATGGTACTGAAATTGGGTTTGCAGTCTGCGTCAGATCATGAATGACAAATTAATTTACTATCTTAGTTCCCATCACCTGAAAGTAAAAGGGTATCCAGTTATATTTTAGATGGTTCATATAGACAGGTTGTACCCTTGTGTCACTAGGTATTATGATAAGGGTATTTGATTCAGAATATTGGCAGATTTGTCAAGTAGTCCAGATGTCCTCACATGGATCCAACCCTATTTAGGGATCAGGGAAGGCATCATACATTGGTTCATTACCTCTGTATCAGTCTGCATCACTAGAATATATAGAACAGAGAATAGAGTATATAGTCCTAAACGTATTCTCAGAGGAGGATACAGATCTGGAGATTGTGTCTCTTGAGAGATCAGTATTTTTTCAATCAGAAAATGGCATTTAGTTTCACAAACTGGTGGTCAAAATAGTTCAGCTTTAAAGATCCCGTCTGTGTCAGCAGAAGAGATGTCTTATCTGCTGTTCAGTATACTAGAGAATTCTTCTAGCAACAAAATCTCATGTCCTCTGTCAGAATGGTTATTACATTAGATTTGTTGGGCAGGAGGACTTCCTAATTACCAGCATATAATGTTTAGGTATCGGTACCATTTCCGGGAGAAAATGCTCTCATTTGCTAAAGACCTGCTTGAAGAATACAGAAGAATGATTAATACCAGGATGCTTAGTAGATAAAGACAGAAGCCTCACTTAATTCACCCAGTGCTGCAGCAAGAGCAGTAGCTTCAGCCATAGCACCGTAATGACATGGCTTTAAGTCCTCTGGTCTGCAATCTGAAAACAAAGAATACAACAAAGATGTTACATTTGAAGCTGATTAGGCTATTCAATCCCAGGATGAATAAAGTCCTAGAGAAGATAAAGTAAACTAGATCAATAGCTAGTTCAATAAGTGGTTTATCAACCTTCAGAGAGAGAACTTGGAACTGTTGTCTTAGATATTATAGGCAGCAGTGCAGTTCTACATCCTTATTTTTGTGTTTCATTCAGAAATTTCATTAACACCACCACCAACTTCCTGCTCAATAGCAACTGAAAAAAAAGAACTTCAAGTCCTTGACAAAGGATGGAGAAGCCATATTCTCACCTTCCACATCAAAGTTTAGACTGCAGGTTTGCTGTGAGCCTCACAAGCTGCAAAAGAGTTTTAATCTCTTCCTCCCCTTCCTCACGCTCATGCCTTTTGAGGATATACTTTCTTGTTCTTGCACCAGTTAGAATATCATCGCCACTGTCTTGTGGATCCCAGAAATAGTGCAAAAGTGTTGTTCTATACAATTAACATTGTTCCTTCCACCAACCCTCCACATCCAAAAGCTTCCTCATGAGATCCTCCTAAGTATAGAGGGTTTCTTGATCTTGGAAACAATGGCCACAGAGGAGGCTCTGAAAGAAAACATAATAAAGAGAATTTATTCTAGATACATTTTGATTCCAAAGAAGGATGGAGGTTTCCAACCTATTTTTATATCTGAGAAAGTTCAACTCATTCATTAGAAAGTTCCACATATTGACTCTAGAATCTATAATTACTTCTCTATCTATTCAAAATTGATTTGAGGTTCCTGATTTCCAGTATTTATATTTCCACAACTTTGTCAGGCCTTAACAATGAAAATAGTGATCTTCCGTGGATGGAAAGAAAAAGTACTGGTAATGAGCCTTTCCTTTTGCTATTTTCACTGTTCCTTGTTATTTATAAAATATCTATATATAGTATTGGATCATTTTAAGGCACTAGGACATACCTGTATGCACTAATTTACACAGCTGGCTCAAAAAAGTGTCATCAGAAGAGTGTGCCAATTATTTGATTTGCATGGATACCCTTTCTTAAGGAACTGGGTCTCAGAATGTATTAGGAAAAATGACACATTTCCAACACAAAGAATCTTTACTGTGGGGTACTTCTGAACTCTGTCATGAAAAGCCTTTCTCCAGAGACATGATTCTCCATTTCCAGGATTTGCAACTAGACTTTAAGATGCCTTCTCAGATTAGTGAGCCCCACGGCCTGAGTTTTTACATGCAAGCACACACACATGCATGCACATATGCATACATATATACAAATATATGTATTTATATGTACATGCACACACATACACATGCACACACATGCATATATAGAAATATATGTATTTATACACCCAGACATAGACACACACAGGCACACACTTGTATAGGTAAATATAACCCTCTATGCTCAGCTGCTTGGGAGGCCATCTAGTCCAACCCCCTGTTCAAAGCAAGATCATCCCTATCTACACCAGTCTTCAGTGACTCCCAGGAGAAGTGTATCTACCCTTCTTATGGTGAATGCAGCATAAAAGCATCCTGAAAGGAGCAGCATTCAACCCCCAGCTTCTTCAGTAACTATTGCTTCTAGCACTTTTATCTTGGGATGAGGTATGTATGCCACCGATTTACTAACTTTCAATCACTGAAACTATTTAGAGATGGAAGTGCATATCAACATAATGAAGCCAATTTGCTGAGCTCTTAGGTCTTTCCTTTTTCATTGGTAAATCAAACTGACCCCAAGTTGTAAAGAAAAACACGAGAGAAATACACTAAGAGAACAAGAAAGGATGACCTCATTTCACTCATCTGTATAGGAAGGCATGTTACTGTTGTGATGGATACAACTGACAGAGAGCAGATTTAGGCTAGACATCAGGAAAAACTTCACGGTAAGGGTGGCCAAAATTTGGAATGGGCTTCCAAGGGAGGCCGTGCTGTCCCCTACCTTGGGGGTCTTTAAGAGAAGGCTGGACAGGCATCTGGCTGGGGTCATCTGACCCTAGCACTCTTCCCTGCCTAGTCAGGGAGTTGGACTCAATGGTCTATAGAGGTCCCTTCCGACCCTAGCATCTATGAATCTATGAACTATTCTCATTTTACTCAGTGCCTACTAAAGACAGCTACTAAACAGATCAGCTGAGCCAGGGATGTTAAAGACTGTTTGCACAGTTCTCTTAAAACATCTGTGATGGATGAGATCTTTTCTCTCAAGGGTTATGGAAATAAGTCTGTTTGCAATAAGGCGTGATGCCAAAAGCTTGAGACGCTGCTTGAAAGCAGGAGCAGACTGTCATTTCATTC